CTCTGTAGGCAAAAACTGAGGGATATTGCAATAGTTTTAAGTTAAGGGATAAATTGTCAAAATTAAAAGTTGAGTGATCAGCAAGTATTTGAAAAGCGCTAATGATATACAAGTTCACCTAAATTAACCTTTTAGTGAACGTTCAGTTGATGGATTCAGAATCATAATTCAAAATTATTCTTGATTTACGTGTGTTTTTTATGAGAGAAAACACTATAACGAACTATGAATCATGATCTGAACTGTGGCACGAATCTACCAACCAAACGCATTCTTAATTACTCATTTGTAAATCTAGTCAATAGTTGTGATAGTGATATTGTACTACCTCTCCGGTGGGATTTTTTTTTCCTTTTCTTTTCATCTCTTTGTAGTTTTAACTTTTATGATATAAATAAATATGTGTCTATTTAGATCTCGATCTATCGTAGTGGACCATTTTATCTATTCGGATCCTGATTTAATTGTGTTTTCATGTTTTGTTTTGGCATTTTTTTGTGTATTTCTGTATATTTTTTATATATTTCTAGCTTCAAAAGCCAGATCTAGAAGCTTTTAGGTGGACATAAACTGAAATTGGTAATAATCATTCGTTATCATATAAGGCAGAATAACTTATATTGGAGGAGGATGGTAATTTGAAAAAGTACATGATGAAATCCTTTATATTCTTTGATGGAAGCAATGGTTTGACTATTGTTTTGTTTATAATAAATTATATTAGTTTTATGTATCTCACTATTTTGCTTGAATAAAAAAATACTCTTTGTTAAAGAAAAAAACTACCATTTCATCTTTTTTACAATTTATTTTCAGACGAGTGTCCCCAAAATTTTGGACTTGTAGCAATTTCCTCCGGAGTTATAGAATGTACTAATTATACCCCGCTAAAAAATGAAATTTATAATAATTACAATTCTCCTATCAATTTTTGGATGGAAATTGTCACGTGCGATGCACACGACTATAAAAAAATAAATATATTTTTTTAATGAAACATTTTTGCTAAAAAATGAACACAATGCTTTGTCCATCATCCCTAAATTTACAAAGAGAGCGACAACGACGAAAAAAAAAGGAAGGATAGATTTTCTTTTTTTAAAAAAATATTTTTTAAATTCCTTTTAGTTTGCTATGAAAATTAAAATTTATTTTTAATTAGAATTATATTATATTAAAGCAATTAGAGGTTTATTTTCAAATTAAGTTTAATTTTGTAAAAAATAATTTGTTATTAATTCTTATTGTAAAGTAGTTTCTTAGCTCATATATTAGCATGTGGCATATTCCATCCACAAACTAGCAAAAAGGACAAATTCGTTACCGTTTCTAAGTTGGAAGAGAATGGATGTTACGCTTATTCGGGAATTTCATCATTATAAAGCACAAAGTTTTGGGGATTTAAATTTTCCCCATTATTTTTCTTTAAAAAAAAAAACCATGACAAAAATGTATCAACTTATATGAAAGAAGTTCCTTGATATAGATTTGCCAATGGCATGTGAACTAAATTTCTGCCAAACAATCCATCTTTCACTAATATTTCTGCCAATTCGTCTTCTCATCTTAAAAGACACCCAATTCATTCTCTAGATTTCATTTATTTTGTTGCCAACATAATATATCCTAGCTTTTTTTTTATTATTCCATTACTAAAAATAGCGGGCGTGTTTAGAACTCGTTCCAAAATGATTACTTTTTGTATGAAAATGAAAATTAAAACGTTTTCAATCTCAGACAAAAATTATTTTTGAAAATGCATTTGGTAATTTTATCAAGAGATTATTTTCAGTATTAAAAAACCTATTAATGTCTCTCTCTTTCTGCTTAAGAGAGGAGAAAATGAAAATATTTCTCTCATTTTACACTAAACTAAAAAAACATTTTCATTTTCATTTTTTATCTTTATTGCACCAAACACCGTTTTGAAAACGCTTTTATTTTTTCTTTCTCAAAAAACATAAAAAAATAAAAACGAGATTAATTCGGTCAACATTTTTGGATAGAAATGTAACGTGTGTAAGCATTACTTAAATTAGATCGATGGACGTTGGAAAACAAACCAAGCTAAACTATAGACATCATTTTAATTATTATAAAATGTACTTAATATTAATTTAGTAAGTCTTTTGGAGCTATCTAACTATCCTTATCTTTTATTTCCAGCAAATTATTCTACGAGTGTCTTTGACATATCATTCGTCCAATCATTTTCTAACTACTTTTTTTTTTCTTTTTTCTTTTTTTTTTCTCAATTTATGCGACTTCTTTATCATGATCTAACTCCATTATTCATTAACTGCTGTGTGCAACGCAATCCAAATACAAGATAATGGAGGTTCGGTTTTAATTAGTTAGTTTGGTCATTATTTGACACAGTTTGGCTTCTTTCCTTTTTCTTTCTTTTATAATACTGAAATTCTGGCACGGAATAATATAATTATGTGTTCCAATTATATGTAAGGAATCATTTTTTACTTTATTAATAGGAATTATTATTTTACAGCGCGTACAAAATAAAACTGTTACTGCTTCAGATAAAACTATTAAAAACTAATTATTTAAAGACTACAACATAATTTCTATCATTAGAGTAAAATATTTTTCTCACTATAAATGCATATGTATTATTATTCATTTTATCATGACTCAAAGTTTTAGAGAAATTACTAAAATAATCAAGTAAAAAAAGAGGTAAAATAAATAAAAAAAGGAAGAAAAATATTACTCTGACAAATTCAAGTAAACTCTTAATTTTCCCAATAAAATGCTGACTAAGTAGATGACTTCCAATTAGTAGAAAGATAATAATTTATGTGAAATTGTTACCGAGTCTTCAAAACCAACCAATTATAATATATTTTCGGCAAAAGAAAAAAAATTAAAATATATGTTTTATTTTTATGAAATCGTTACATTTGGACTTCTGTGGTGCATGCTTCTCTTAGGATGGTGAAATTGCACTTCTCCTGTATGAAAGCGACCTTATTTTATTTTATTTTTTAAAAATAATGATGGAAGTTGACATTGCATTTGCTAAAATTAGGACCCAAAATTTATAAACAAATTACTGCAAAGTTATTCGTTATTTTAAAAATAATGCAATTCATTAAAAATATTGAATACATTTCTTTTTCTTTTTCTTGGAAAAAAGAGAAATACATCACTGCTATTTCATTTCTATTTTGGGAACATAAAATGCATCTAACTATGTTTCAAGTACAACTTTACATTCCACCCAAAAAAAAAAAAGGTACAATGCCACATTGGGAGTAAAAATATGAATTAATCTCATTGGTAGCTCTGGATCTTTGGTCATTTTCATTTCATCCTTTAAACTTTAAAAATTCTCACTTTATTATCTAAACTTTAAATTTGTCCTATTTAAGCTCTTTTATAAGAATTTTTATTAAAATCAGATGAAAAAGAGAGAATTAGTTGTAGGGCCGGCAATATGGGTCACGACACGACTCGAAAATGACACGAATTTTACAGGTTAGGGTTGAGAAAAAAGAGGCTCGGGTCAGAATTGGGTCGACCTTAAATTGACACGAGAAATACGGGTCAATTTCGGGTTGGACCCGCCTAATCCGAACACGACACGAAACTCGTAAAAAACTAAAATATATATATTTTTCATTACATATTTTAAATTTTATTATGAACTTGTGATATCATGATAGTTATACTCAAAATCTTATACTATTATTTGCTTAATTTCAATGGATGTTATTGTAATTTAGTGTGTTATGAATTTTAAGTTATTTCTAATATGTAAAAAACTAAATAAAAGTATATAATTTTCGTGTCAATTTCATATTCACGGGTCAATTTCGTGTCACGGGTTATTTTCGGGTCGTGTCGTGTCAACTCATAAAGTGGTTGTGTCGTGTTCATGTTACGGTTTTTAAAAAATTTCTTGTCACGGGTCGTATTCGAGTTGACTGTAAATTTTAAAAAAATGATCAAAACACGACATGTGACACGAATTGCCACCCCTAATTAGCTGTGAGCCTGTGACTGTGTGGTTTTTATCTGTTTATTTTTAATAGAAATTCAAACATAAGGGGGTTGAGTGAGAACAATTAAAAATTTAAGAGACAAAAAAAGTTTTAAAAGTTCAGAAGGCAATTTGAGATGATCTTAAAATTCAGGGCACTATTGATAAAAAAATCCTTAAAATATCTTGCAATATCCAAATGTAACTAATTATGGTTAGAAACTTGTTCTAACGTTAAATTCAGATGGCCTCCAATGATAAAGAAATATTTGAAACTCCCACCCTCAATTTAAAAAAAAAATATATTCAATTTATTTCAAATGAGAATTATGATGTTAGAAATGGGAACACAAAATTCTCACACATAAAAAAAAAAAGGAGAGAGAATATAAACACAGACATAAGGACAATATAGGAAATTGATAATACCGCCAGATCCCCTTTCAAAAAGATTCAAATCCAAATGGCAGTCTTTTTTTTTTTTTTTTGGATAATTGAAATGGCAGTCTTAACTTTATCAATAAACAGCCACGAGCTACGACATAAAAAATAGAGTAAATTCCATTTTTCTTAAAAAATGTTTTCTTTAGTGTAATATTTAAAGTTCTTAAAATGCTTATAATTTTATTTGTTTAATAAGAAATCTCGTGATAAGACGTGTAAAAATGAACTACTGATATGTTTATGTTTTTTAAGCGCTAAATTCGTATTAATAAGTGCATCTTCTGCATTTTTTTTTTTTTCCATTTCGATCTAATTTTTATTAACTCTAACGATGCTACCGATAAAAAAAACACGGCCCTTTAATATGAAATATTTGCTTTCGCTGTCTCAAGTTTGTTGTGCGTGCGTGGATCAATCCATCTTCCTGCTCGTTAAAGCAACGGCTGTGATATTCACTCTCAGTGTGTTAGCTTTGAATACAATCCACGGTCCCACACCAACCTTTCTAAACTCTCTCTACCATTCTCTCTACCCTTCTCTCTCCTCCTCTTGCACCTTCAAATGGCTTCCAAGGAAAACTAAAAACCAGTCTCCATTTCAACAACCACAACTGAAAAACTCCATCAAGTTTTCCACTTTGGTCCTCAGTCTCATTCTTCATTCTCTTTAGCTTCTTGGGTTTCTCTTGTTTTCCTCATTTGCGTTGTTTTTTGTTTTGTTTTGTTTTTTTTTTTTTTTTTGGGGGTGATGAAGTGAGTTTGAGAAGAAGTGAGATTTGGGGTTGAAAAAAAAAAGGAAAAAAAAAAAGAAAAGGAAAAAATGGTTGGTACGGCAACAAAAAATGGAAGAACAAGACAAGCGTTTTCTTTGGTAAATGGAGGATACGACATGAGTCCAAGTAGTGCTCCGCCGAGTAATGCTGGTTCAGAATGTGGTGGTACTGAGTTTACTAGAGAAGATGTTGAAGCTTTGTTGAGGGAGAAGCCCAAAAGGAAGGACAAGTTTAATCTCAAGGTCTTATTTTTTTTTTTTTTTTTGAGGTTTCTGTTCCAAAAACTATCAGGGTTTCTTTTTTAACATTTTTTTTTTTGGTTTTTGGGGTGTTATAATTAATGGGGTTTTGGTTTTGTTTCAGTTTGACTTGCGTAGTTGAGTTGCATTCTGATTTAGATACTGATAAGTTGAGGTTTTGGTGTTTGAATCTGAAGGAAAAATGTGATCTTTTGACTGAGTACATAAAAAGGCTAAAACTTTGCATCAAATGGTTCCAAGAGCTTGAGACAAGCTATGTATTTGAGCAAGAGAAGTTACAGAATAGGTTGGAGAAGGCTGAGATGAAATGCGGCGAAACCGGTATGATTAGATTAGCATCTTTTGTTGCACCTGAGTTCTTAATGAAATCTCCTCTGAAAGTGATTCAAAATAAATATGCTTGATTGTAGAAATCCAACTGAGAAATAAGGAAGAAGAACTGAATTCCATAATTCAAGAGCTCAGGAAGAATTATGCTTCTTTGCAAGAGAAATTCGAGCAAGAAGAATGCGATAAATTGGTAAGCAGAAGAAGGTGGAAATCCTTTTCTGTCTTGTTTAGTTTCGCTGATTTCTGTAAGATAATTAAGTTCTTGAATATAACAATTAGGAAGCAATGGATACACTCACAAAAGAAAGGCATGCCAGACTCGACATTGAGAGATCGCAGAATAGCCTCTCGGAAGAGCTTGGGCGAGCTCAGCGAGAGCTCTCAAGTGCTAATCAAAAGGTAGAAATATAATGGTAGATTTATCTGTTTCCTTTTCTCCCCTAGAAAATTCAATAAGCTCCTAAATATTCGTTTTGGGCTGTTGAATTCTGCAGATATTGTCGCTTAATGACATGTACAAGCGGTTGCAAGATTACATTGCTAGTTTACAGCAATACAACAGTAAGCTACACACAGACCTCTCTACTGTTGAGGACGACCTTAAGCGCATAGAAAAAGAGAAGGCTAGTATGACGGAGAACCTAAACAATTTAAAGGGTCAGCTAACAATGTGCAAAGTGAGTTTCTACTTTACTAGATCTATTTCTCATTATGTTAGATTGTATCTTTTATGTTTCCTTTTTTACTCCTCCTTTATTGATCTACAGTGGGGCTTATTGAATGAACGCTCTTATTCAGTTTTCAAATTGCTAGATTTGTCACAAAGGCCTTGCACATTGTCAAGGACTAGTGATGAGTGCTTTGAGAGTTAGAAATATATTAGGCCTTGCACATTGGGCAGGTTGAAAGCTTGAGGGAAAACTTTTGTGGATTATGAACTGGCATTTAAGTTTATTCTCGTGAATGAAATGAACCCAATTTAGAAATATATTAGGGCCCATTCTTTTCATTGGTTTAAACCATAATTCAACCTTTTAGTTTTTGTTATAGTGTTTCTCTTACAAAAATTTAAATTCCCGTTCAAACCTATGAAAGAATAGGCCTTTAGTGACCTACAGTCTAAACTGCTTAAAGCTATAGGTAGAAAAATTTGGTGGCAACTTTCCTAGCTTGCTAACTTGCCCAATTTAGAAAATAAAAAACAGGGACCGAGAAGATGAGTTGTATAGTACCATTAAGATCTTAGATCTGGAGTTAGGGAATTCATTTTCAGGAACTTTTGCAGATGAGGATTCGTGCCATGATTCGAATCATGGTCCGTGGCTCGCTACAGTGTTTTCTTTCGCAAAAAACACACACGTAAACCCAGAATGGTTCTGAATCATGCTTTTGAATCCGTGAACCAAATGTCCACGAAGGTTTCTAGAAGCTCTTTTTGCCTTTGGTTCCGAAGTTTTGGTTCCCACTAATGGGGCATACTTCATACATTGTGATGACTAGTAACATCTATGGAGTTTATGCAGAAAATAAAGAATGAAATAAAAAAATGTAATTTTGAGTTAAGGTTTATTTCTTCCTGATCTTTTCTCCTCTAATATATCCTTTAGTGTGGAAACTCAGCAAATATTTTTTAATTGATCATATACAGGTATCTCATGATGAGGCTGTAAAGCAGAGGGATGCTTTGGTCAATGAAGCCGCGGGCCTTAAAATGGAGTTGCAACAGGTCAGAGATGATCGTGACCGCTTGATACTCCAAGTGCAGAATTTAACAGACGAAGTCGTGAAATATAAGGAATATACGGAGAATTCTTGTTCTGAATTGGATACCCTGACAGAAAAAACAAATCAACTAGAGGTTTGCCTAATGCATTTTTCCTGCATATCTTATGCGTGTAGCGACTATCGAAATTTTCTGGCTAATTAACTTAACTGTTATTTTGGTTTCTTTTCAGGATAAATGTTTTTCACAAAGTAACGAGATAAGTACATTGAAGGACCAACTAATGAATGCGCAAGAGAAACTTCAGGTGACAGTATGTGATTTTTTACTGAACATATTAATTTAGGATATGCAGGTTTGGAGTTTAATGCATGAACTTGGAGAACTTTGCATAAAAAGATCCTGAATCTTGTTAGGTGTCCGACATATCTGTATTGGAGACAAAAACAGAATATGAAGAACAGAAAAGGCTCATAAGTGAATTACAAAGTCGCCTGGTGGATGCGGAATTTAAACTTGTTGAAGGAGAGATGCTGCGCAAAAAGTTACATAATACCATTCTGGTAGTACTTTCTGCCCGCTATATATATATATACACACACTATATATATTCGTAAGGAAGATTGTCTATATCCTTCTGAACTGTCTTTTGTTACAGGAACTGAAAGGCAACATTCGGGTATTCTGTAGAGTGCGACCATTGTTGCCCGATTATGGTTCTTTTGGTGAAGGGAAGGTTATCTCTTATCCCGCATCAATGGAAGCTCTGGGCCGTGGCATTGATTTGGTGCAAAGTGGTATGCTTCAATTATAAAAAATAAAAAAAAAACAGAGAGATATCAGATTACTATTTCTTCTTTTGTGTGCTTTTGAACTTTTGGTGTTATTGCGCTAACAAAAATGTTCATGTCAATAATCAGGGCAAAAACATTCTTTCACGTTTGACAAAGTTTTCATGGCTGAGGCGTCACAAGAGGATGTCTTTGAAGAAATTTCACAGCTTGTTCAAAGTGCACTTGATGGTTACAAGGTGATTCCAACATTCAAATCTTGTTAAAACGTAGTATCTGCGTCATGCACGCTTAGGCTTAGCTGCTTCATTGTTGTTTTGTTCTTCAGGTCTGCATTTTTGCCTACGGGCAAACGGGTTCAGGCAAAACTTATACCATGATGGGTAAACCAGGACAGCCTGAGCAAAAAGGGTTGATACCTCGTTCGTTGCAACAAATATTTCAAACTAGACAATCACTTCTGTCACAAGGTTGGAAATACGAAATGCAGGTTAGTGGACTCTGTATGTGTGTACCCGTGTGCGCGCCAGTTTTATGTATTGTTTGAACATCTGGCTGTAATCTTACTTCTGTATCTAATGCTTGTGTATAAACATACTTCCAGGTTTCGATGCTGGAGATATACAACGAGACCATTCGCGATTTGCTATCTACAAATAGATCATCCCTAGATCTTTTGCGATCAGAAAATGGTATCGGTGGTAAGCAATACACTATCAAACATGATGCGAACGGGAACACACATGTATCTGATCTTACAATTGTGGATGTTCGTAGTGCTAGAGAGGTCTCCTATCTTTTAGACCGGGCTGCACAAAGCAGGTAACAAAATAACACGAATCAATACTTTTCTTCTGGTAATCATGCCTGTTTAGTGGGAAGTTCGTTGCATTTACACAAGATATTGTCCTTTGCGTTGTTAGCGTCTGCTTTATTGTTTAAGGTCGTGTCGTTTATACACTTGATACTAACGACTGATTCTGATATAACACTTGACACAATGAAAATATTGTTTTGTTTTGTTTTTCTTGTTGTGATTAGGAGAGGCCATTCAGCTAGTTATTGTGTATTTTTTTTTTTTTCGTTTAGATCTGTAGGCAAGACCCAAATGAATGAACAATCATCAAGAAGTCACTTTGTTTTCACACTACGCATATCTGGTGTTAATGAGGTACTTTAATTTCGCTCTTTCTGTTAATCAATTAAGGTGTTTTATACATGGATGTTTTATTCTTTTCATGTGTTATACCGATGAATTTCATATACGTAAATTATTCTTTCATCTACAGAGCACTGAACAACAAGTACAAGGTGTCTTGAATCTCATTGATCTTGCCGGGAGTGAGCGCCTTTCTAAGAGCGGCTCTTCTGGGGACCGTCTGAAAGAAACCCAAGTATCTTATCTGCACCACAATTTTCATAATCTTCTTTGTTGTGCATTTCCAGTTTTTCAGTTTCTAAAACAATAATGTTCTTTTGTTCTTATCAGTCAATCAATAAAAGTCTGTCGTCCTTAAGCGACGTCATATTTGCCTTGGCGAAGAAAGAGGATCACGTACCTTTTAGAAACTCAAAGCTTACATATCTTCTTCAGGTAATTTCTCTATGAATGTGTAATGTGTTTCTTTTTCTTCATCTTCTAGAGTTTCTGTCCTAAACTCTTGTAAATTAATGTCCTTCACAGCCATGCCTTGGAGGTGACTCAAAGACTCTCATGTTTGTGAACATCTCTCCTGAACTCTCCTCTGCAGGCGAGTCGCTCTGCTCGCTTCGTTTTGCTTCTCGCGTAAATGCTTGCGAGATTGGTGTTCCGCGGCGTCAAACCAACATCCGGTTTTCAGAGTCGCGATTGAGCTACGGTTGATCTTCAGTGGTATAGTTATATTGAGAGAAAAAAAATATATTCTAAGCATATCAATGCTCTGCATCTGCATCACTAGTATTAGAGAGTGAAGTTCCAGAGTGATTCTAACATAGGTGTATTTGTACAGTGAGCAAAATACCATGTTGTACTAAATACCATTGGAAGGTTTGATTTTCTAATTTCTGGAAATCTAATGAGCTTAATTTCTTCAACAATGTCCTTAATGCTTTTGGCTGCCTTTAATTTAGGCTTGTACGCAGTTCGGTTTTCTGCAGAGGCAGAACCGAAGCTGCGACAGTTGGAAATGCCTAACCGAAACCGACTGTCATGTGTAGCGGTTGGTTCGGTTTTCAAACTGAAAACAGTCGGTTCCCTTGGATTAGTTGGAATTTGGTGTCATTTGCCTCGCCGGTTATTTTGATTGTGGCAGTTTTCATGTACAAGGCTTTTCTATAATTGATGAAGTGACTATGAAGCATAGATTGGGTGCCATTTGCCTCATTTCTCAGTCATTTCAATTTGTTAAATTTCTAAGCCAAGCCGTTTCTTGATTTGCGCGTGTCATCCTTGTGCGCCGGCCATCCTTGTGCGCCGGCCATGTTAGTCTTCTTCTCTATGTCATTCCAATGTCATTGATGTCACCGAAGGATCAAGAAAAGAGTAAGAATCAAGAAAAACATGGGGGTTAAATATGAATGAGAAGACTTTATTGACCATATTCGGATGAGTAACCAATCTTTTGCTTTGATTTTATCAAAGAAAAAAACAAGACCATACAAATCTAAAAAAGAAAAAAGAAATGATTATACAAATCTATGCCATTCGGTCCATGACCTCTTGTAGAATAACCTTTGTGTCTTTGTAAAATGTTTCTGTTTCAGGCAGATTGCGCTGTTTAGTAGCACCTTCAAGCTGTAAACAAAAGTTTTCAACCAAATATTTCTTAGGTAGTGTTAGGAAAAAAACACACCCTTACACTCATGCAGTAAAAAAATAAATTAAAATAAAAAAATAGAGAATACAAAAATTTATGTGATTCGGAAAAATTTCCTACGTCTACGGACGGGAGAGAAAAATTAACTAACTATTTTAGAGTTACATACTCAACAAACTCTCTCTACCAAAACCCCTTACACCTTTATCTATCTCTCTTCTCACTTTTCTCTCTCTCAAAAAGATGCACTTTGTCTCTAAAGTTTTCTCCGAGCACACATAAAACTTTACACAAAACACTTATTTATAAACTCCTAATAATATTTGCCCAAAAATAAAAAATAATAACTTACCTAAAAAAACACAAAATTGTTACTTTCTCAAAACTAATTTGAGTCACTTATCCAATAGGTAGTTGTATAGAAACTTAAGAAGAAAAGAAACCAAAAAAAAAAAAAAATTAAAAAACACAAAATTGTTACTTTCTCAAAACTAATTTGAGTCACTTATCCAACAGGTAGTTGTATAGAAACTTAAGAAGAAAAGGAACCAAAAAAAAAAAAAAAACAAAGAAAAGGTATGAGTTTTAGGGAATTTTTATGGTAGCGACGGTCTTTTTTTCTTCAACAGCTTGATCTACAACATGGAGCAAGTCTGCATCGTACTTTTGAAAAGTTAAGGTTGCGTTAGGTATGAGGGTTCTAGAACCGGAACCATGATTCTGGTTCAAACTTTTGTTTATTTGCAAAAAGTAAAAAATGGTTATTGAAAACTAGTGTTTGGTTTAGATGGTTTTGGTTCAAAGTATGAACCATGATGTAATGTTTTAAATTAGAACCACCCAAAAAAATAAAACCGCATCTCTCTTGATTTTGGATGGTACAAATCTCTAATTCTGATTCCGGTTCCAAAACTATAGTTTGGACTCCAAATTTAAAACATAAATCACGGTTCTAGTTCTAAAACTAAAAACACATGGAGCAATTCTGCATCGTACTTTTGAAAAGTTAAGATTGCGTTAGGTACGAGGGTTCTAGAACTGGAACCATGATTCTGGTTCAAACTTTTGTTTGTTTGCAAAAAGTAAAAAATGGTTATTGAAAACTAGTGTTTGGTTTAGATGGTTTTGGTTCAAAGTATGAACCATGATGTAATATTTTAAATTAGAACCACCCAAAAAAATAAAACCGCATCTCTCTTGATTTTGGATGGTACAAATCTCTAATTCTGATTCCGGTTCCAAAACTATAGTTTGGACTCCAAATTTAAAACATAAATCACGGTTCTAGTTCTAAAACTAAAAACACCCTGATTTTGAAGCCTTATACCAAACGCAAGCTAATAATCTATTAGTTTAACCATCACTTTTTCTATCCGTAGTGAAAAAAAGAAGTTAATTTTTACATACCTTCTCAAAACTGTCAAACAATCTGTTAGCCAGATGAGTGAGAGGTTGCTTGTCATCGACCGTTGCTGCAGTGATAACCTTGTCGAAATCGTAGTACATGAAAGTCGATTTGAGTCGAAGATACTTTTGGACGTAGTTTAATGTGTCTTTTCCAATCAGATCTTCCAGAGCAAGGAGATCAAAGGCACACTTCCTCAGCCTGTACTTTCTGTTTTTTGTTCCAATATCTGCCATATAAATCCCCTTCTTCAGAAAAGAACGAGTGCCCGTCTTCTCGTTCGCTATATCTATTCCAAAAGAAAATATAAGTGCATTTTTAATCATGATTTATTTTCTCTTATAATGGGATTCAATTATTTATTGCTACACCTACATCTTTTTCATACGAGCTATTCAAATAAAAGAACCATTGTCAATCATAGTTCAGATTTAATTAGGGTATGTTTAGTTCGCTGATTCGAGTTGAGATGTGACTTTATGTGAAAATTTTTTACTGTAACAAAAAAAGTTAGATTTAATTGTTTCTGAGAATTTTTTACTGTAGCAAAACTTAAAATGAACGGGCCCTTAATTATTACTTGTAGTTGTACTTTTTAAAAAAAAATAACTTTAAAAAACATGCAATGATCTATTTCATGATTAAATTAGTTTTTCTAATCTTTTTTTTTTTTAATTTCTCATGCCAAATTGTCATCTTATCGCTAAAAATGTGAGTAAAACAAATCCCAACACAATAAGAATTCTTGTGACAATTATTAAATCGATTTTCCTTTGTTCTCTGTATTTTAACTTACTAATTATTGACAACAAGATTAAGAGATAACATTAAACAAACGCTACAAGTATATTTTTTGTATGATCAACTCTCGTGTTTTGTTACAGTAAAAAACTCTCTGAAACAGTCATATTTAACTTTTTTACTATAGTAAAAAATCATCACATAAAATCACATCTCAATTCGAATTAAAAACTTAAATTAGCGAACTAAACGAACCATATAAAGCTCGGGATACATTTAACAAACTAGTAAACTCTTGTGTAAAGAATTGATGAAAAAGAATACTAACTGTTATCAACAGTAGGAACAGGCAAAGGGCCATCTATCCAGAAGCCGTTGTCTTCGGCGAGAGAGACGCCGTTGCAGGTAGTGTTACCAACAAGTGCAATGGAGGCAAGTCCTAGTGCTAGTTTTCTTCTTGTGGTTTGCACATTGTGTTCTGATTGAGAATGATCATCCTTTTTCTTGCCTTGAAATCCGACTATGTTTGCCCTCTTTTGGGTCCTCCGTAGGCTCGGAAGCCTTAGCGCGCCCGCCAGCGTCTCCGAGATTCCGTTCAGGTTTGCCAAACGGGCCATGGGGGAAGAATTGAGTGAAGAAAATGGGGAGCTTCAGCGCTCTGATGAGAGTGGAAGTTTATAGTTTCAGTTATATCCGTTTGGAAAAGTGCAGGCCACTTTGTGACCACGGGAAGGATATCCTTGTAAAGGGTAATTTGGTCATTTTGGCGTTTCTTATTTTCCGTAATGTCCCGCCAGCCAAATAACGTTTTCAAAGAGAGGGGGCAAAAAAATAGAGTAAAAAGCTGTGCACGTTGGAGTCGATAAGGACCAACAATCATCAAAAGGTCACAAATATCCGGTTTCTCTGGGAGATAAGTTGTTCGCGGTCGGTTTAGACGGTTTTTTTTTTTTTTTTTTTTTTTATTACTATCTAAACTAAAAGTAATTTTTCTTTTAGACAATTTGGATTGTTTGATATTTTTAATAAAAATTAAATTAAACCAAATCACTTATAAGCGATTTAACCGGTTTGGTTTGGGCGTCTTAAGTTTAAGATTGAAAAAGTTTTTAATAATTCATAAAAATTATAAAATCGTTAATGAATAAAAATAAAAATAAGATTCAAGTTTATAATATAACTTAAAATAATAAATATCTAACCGTTCACTATTTAAAGTTTTAATATAAATCAAGAAAAAAATATGATACGGTGTATTTTATAAGTATAAAACTTTTATTATGAACAATAGAAATTAAAATAAATATAAAAAATATTTTAAAAATTAAAAAAATTATGTATGTATTTTTTTAGCAGATTATTGAACGGTTTGGGCGGCTTGAGGAGTCCAAACCCACAAACTAAACTGCCTAAAAAATTAGCTTAAAAAAAGAGTAAACTGTCCAATAATCTAAAAATAATTAATAATTTGGTTCAGTTTGGTTTGAATTAAGTTGTTTTTGCAGTTTGGCGGAATTTTTGAACACCCCTACTTGTTAGAATGATGCCATTAAGCAAAAGAAACCTTTTCTCCTCTCGTTTTCTTTGCACATTAAGTTCAAGAGGTATATAGTATTTTTTTTTTACTATTTTTAAAATAAATGAACGAATTTTTTTAAAATAAATAGTTGAACTTCTCTTTTTTTTTTTTATAGCAAAATGACCAATAATCAATCAATGATATTGATTAAATATTTATTAGTATAATTTATCAATGATTTATCAATAATAAACATGTAATCTATTCCATAAAAAAATAAACATGTAATCTGTTGATTGAAATTAATTAATTACTAATTAATTTTAGTTAATCATTAACTGATATTGATTAATGATAAAAAAAAACTATCGAGTGAATATAACAATAGACTAATTAATCAGTATCATTAATTAATAACTTACCACTAAATTAACAAAATAAAGTGCCATTTTGCTAATTTTACAAACTTCGGCTATGTTTTTAAAAAATCCTTAAAAAAGGGGTATATACATTGTTATCCTTTTTATGGCCATCTTTCCCTTCCTTAATTATCCGTCCGCAATCTTGGCCATACACGTGTCAAGTCAACCAAAAGAAGTCCGGGGGAATAGCTAACCGTGAAAGAGTCAACAACACAACCCTAACTTTGACGGAACAAGAAGAGTCCAATTAGACGACTTCAACATGTTTGGTTAACTATTTAGAAATATTAAGGCTCCATTAATTTCGCTCGTTTGAATTAAAAATTTGAGTTAAAAAATAAATTTATAAGAAAAAAAATACTATAATTAAATTTAATTTTTTATATAAAAAAATACTGTAACAAAAAATTTGAGTTATAATTCAAATAGTAAAACAAGCGAAACTTAAATTATGCGACTCTAATGAGTCCAATATAGACTAAAAAGGTGGGAGTATGCTACATGTCTATTTTATCACAGACCAATCCTATTGTGTAACTACAAATAGATGACTCATCGGTTACCTCTTTAGTTTACTCCTCCGTGATGACCTCTTATATGAGATTTTTTTGGGAAAATTTTTAAAAATACTCCTTAAAATAGAGTTATTTATTTATTTATATCTTTTAATATTAATTTATATATTTTTATTTTTTAGACTGAAACTGGTCAGGTGATAAAATTTTTTAAAAATGATATTTTTAAGCAATTAAGTACTTAAAAAAATAAAATCTATAATTTTATCCTATTTTTTGGTGCCTCGTAAGTCACCTCCATCATGGGCTTCTTCACTGTCAGGAGCTTTTCCCAATACGAGGTGTGGGCTTTTTTTGTTTTTTGTTTTTTTGGTCCTCTTTATAATTTCTCCATCACATTGACGGTTTGAAACTATCCGCAACCGCAATGTGACAGTTGGTGGTAGTTCGGTGCTACATCCGATGTCAGTCAAGTGGTTTTCAGTTTCTCAAATCGAGAAGCTCGACTCAATTGAGAATTTCACCAAATGCCACCCAAGCCGAACCAACCCCCCACCTTGTTATAGCCAAAAGGATAACCACAAAAAAAAAAAAAAAGGAGGGAAAATACAAAAATGCCACTCAAAAGATGTCATTTTTGCGCTTATGTTAGGTAATAATGTAAACTTGCCATCTATGCCATTCAAGGGCATATTAAGATGTCTCACCATATTATTTTTTCTCCTCTGTAAAGATGATATGATATCTTCTGGCTGTTTAGTTCACTGATTCAAATTTTTAATTTGAGTTGAGATGTGATTTTATTGAAGAGTTTTAGACTGTAGTAAAAAAATTAAATGTGATTGTTTTTTAGAGCTTTTTACTGTAACAAAACTCGAATTCTAAACTCAAATCAGTGAAATGAGCGAGACCTTCAGCTTCAGTCTCAAAGTCTATTTTGATAGAATATTAAAGTCAAAAGAAATAGCGAGAGACTAAATGACATAAACGGGCCCGGTTAGTTCGCTGATTCGAGTTGAGATTGTGACATTATTTGAGAGCTTTAAATTGTATAAAAAAAGTTAAATGTTACTGTTTCTGAAAACTTTTTACTGTAATAAATCTCAAATTTTAAATTCAAATTGATAAAATGAACGAGACCGTAAAATTATTTTTGGACATACTAGTAAGTTTTGGAAATAAAAAGTACTTATTGGGCCTATTTGAGAAGGCCAACACCTAACGGATAGAGCGCAGGGGAATACAGGCATACACTATATATGACACTAGAAAAATCAAGCTGAATAGAAAAATCTTCGGAGGGCATAACATAACCCAAGATCTACAAAAGAAATAAAATTCTTGTTCACTTCACATATTTAAGTTTTTAATTTAAGTTGAGATGTGACATTTTTTAAAAGCTTTTTACTGTAGTTGAAAAAGTTAAATGTAACATTTTTTGAAAGCTTTTCACTGTAGCTGAAAAAGTTAAATGTGACATTTTTTAAGAACTTTTCACTATAGCTAAAAAAATTAAATGTGATATTTTCTAAAAATTTTTAATTTTAACAATAAAAATTTAAAATTAAAAATTTAAATCGATGAAATGAACGAAAATTTTGAGAAATTCCGATGTTTAAGCAATCATTTTCCAGGTTGTAACTGTTGCACAAAATATACGTGGTCATTGATGGGGACCTTATATTTTATAAAAGAAAATGGAGGGCGTCATTGACATGCTTGCTCATACAGAGTATTCGGACTCTCCAATGATTGCTCTTCTTGATAAGTAATTTGACATGACAAAATGGATACATACGCCCGTTCACTTCACTATTTATGTCTAAAATTTAAATTTTATTATAGTAAAAAATTTTAAAAAATAATTATATTTAATTTTTTTATTATAATAAAAATTTTTATATAAAATTACATTTAAATTTAAATTATAAATTTAAATTAACGAATTAAATAGGTCATAGTTAGCCTGAAATATGTCTAAGAGTTAGAAGAATTTCATGAATTTTGGTGGCAACTTGAGATTCCAATTATGGGGTTCCATACATTTGAAGCTAAAACTATTATATGTCATAATTTTTTGAATGCTTCGTTTATATCAGGATTTGAGTCACAATTCATAATTTTTTTTTTTATAAAAAATTTAATGAGTTGTTTGGTTGGAAGATTCGTACTCCGATTCGAAGTATGATTCGTAATTCGCTATAATATTTTTTCTCATAAAAAATATACATAAATGAAAAATAATTCTAATGTCATGAACTAAACGTCTCCTAAATTTTTGTTTCAATTTATAAACTAAACACAATTACAATCACTAAAATAATATACGAAACGATATCATCTGTAACAAAGAAAGTTGTCACTTTTTAATTAAAAGAAACTTTATCGGTTCAGATTGGTTTTTTTTTTTTCATCATCATATAATGACTAAAAATGAGTCGGCGCCGCATCCCAAAAGAAATAAGACGTACCGTAGCTTCTTTCTTGATTTGAAGCCTTCCACGACCTATTGGTTGTGAGAAGATTTGGACCAAAGGTGTAATTTATCAATAAATAAACCTGATTTACTTTGAAAGCTTTTCTAGACGTGCTAACTTTGTTGATGTGAGAAGTGTACTCATCACATTAAATCGTAACTCAAGAAATTAGGTGACGTTTGATTCATGATTTTAAAAATTATAGTGTATAATTTTAATTTTTAAAATTTTAATTTTTTATGAGAGAAAAATATTATAGCGAATTAAGAACTAAGATCTTAAACCAGACTTGAATCCTCAAAACAAACAGAGTATTAGATTACTTTAGACACTAAAGGTGCGTTTGAAACTCATTTTAAAATGATTTAATTTTTTGTGTAAAAATGAAAATGAAAACGTTTTCAATCTCAAATAAAAATCATTTTTAAAAATGTGTTTGTTAGTTTTATCAAGAGATTATTTTTAGTATAAAAAACCCATTAATGTGTGTGTGTGTCTCTCTCTTTGCTCGAGAGAGGAGAAAACAAAAACAAAAAATGAAAAGTCGTTTTTTATTTCTCCCTCATTTTACACTAAACTAAAAAATCGTTTTCATTTACATTTTTTGTCTTTATTGTGCTCAACGTCGTTTTAAAAACGTTTTTATTTTTTTTCTAATTCCAAACACGGCCTAAGTTTTTAACTGTCTCTAAATCCTATTCTTGTTGGTACTTTAACATCACGCAATATTGGTAAGGCGTAAGCATTCAACTT